GCCACAACACCCGGCCATTTTTTGGTTGCAGCTGTTATTGTTGTTTGGCAGGCCCAGGGCTAGATTTGAACCTGCCACCTTGGGTGTATGTGGCTGGCGCCTTAGCCACTTGAGCCACAGGCACTGAGCCACTAATGTTTTAAGACAAGGAGCAAGTTATAGTGTAATTAACTTGGGCATTAGAATTTTTGTATTTGGAACTCTGTGTCCCTAGTGATTCAAGATCATATCATAGTGGTATAGCAGAATGTGAGTGAATTAATACATATGCAATAAAGAAATAAGATATTTGTGAGAAAGCCATACAGGTGGCCTCCAACACACAGATGAAATGGAATATTCATCCAGACTAACTGTACACCTTTTCCAAACTGTACAAAACACAGGAGAAAAAAGGTTATCAGAGGGAAAAAAGCAAGACCCCGTCCATCTTGGTCCAGCTCTAGACTCTCTGTAACACTGACAAAGCTAATGAGGTCAATCCTGTTCTCTCATTGCTTTCTCACCCACGAGAAAGAAACAAAATCCAAATCCCCCCTGCTAGATCCAAATTCATTCCAATTAGTGCTTCTTCTAATTTTTTCTCTCTTCTTTCCTATCACATCATCCTCCTCACCTCCTACACCTGATCGTTGCCAAGAGAAGATGCTTCAAAAATGCCCACACATGTCCCCTCGAGAGAGGAAATGAGGTAGATGTGAAGGAAGCTCTCTGGGCAAGGAGCTAGTCATTCAGTCATTCAACGAATATTTGTTTAGTACCTAATACACGCCAGGCATTCTTCTAGGCACTAGGAAGATAGCACTAAGTGCGACAGATGTGGTTCCTGGGTTTATGGAGTTTACATTCTTAGATGGTAAGAGATAATTAACAGATAATGTAATTTCAAATAGTCATAAGTTCTCTAAAATACCAAGTAAAGAGTGAACATGGATAGTGGCAACAGATCCCCAAATGAGATGACATTTGAACCAAGAGTGAATGGTAAGAAAGTGCTGGCCCAGCTGAGGAACAGACAGGAGAGGATTTCAGGCAGAAATAAACTTGGCCTATTTCAGGAACACAAGGTCATGTGGCTGAAGCATAATGAACAGTATGAACAGAGAGGTGGGCAAGGGAAGGTAACTGGAATTCAGCTTTAGTTTAAGTGCAAGCAGAAGCCTTTGGAGGAAATATACATGTGATGACCCAACTGGGTACCGCCAACACTGTCCCGTGGAGAGTGGACTTGTCATAGTCGTCACTAACTTGCATTCTTTTCTGCAATCGTGTGAGACTATAAAATCTCTGAAGGCAGAGCCCAAAGCTTATTTGATGTTACACATTTAACGCTGTGCTTGGCATACTGTAGGCACTCAATACATGCAGACTCAATAACATGAACAAACTAGGAAATACAGATGTCATCGATACATTAACTTTTAATTACCTTCTCCCTTGCAAGGTGCCTGCTAAAGCACATAGACTACTTTGCAAATAGGAACTGGCCCTGACATCATTTTTAATGAAGAAAAACTAAAGGCTCTTATTTTCAAATGCTGGAGTTGTCCCTAGGCACCCACTCATAGAAGCTCAAACCAGGACATTTCTTACTCGGTCCTCTGTATAAAGTTAATTTAAAAGCCGCTGGTCTTAATCTGCCAATACTGTACATCATTAGAATTATTTTTTTCAATTTAACGAATAGGAAAGGGCATTAACACCTCCCCCCTAATATAAGAATCCAACCCAAGTAACTTACTCTTCAGTTGTTGAAACACTGCTGACTTGGGACACGTGAGCACTGCAGAAAAGAAGGAAAGAGAAAGCCAG